ATTCAAAGAGATTTGATTTTGGTCATCTGATCGTATCTGGCTTCGAACTTGGGTCTACATTTCAACAGTTGGCTGGGTGTACCAACTGAGCCACGCCCGTCCCTCCCTCTCTCTGTGGATAGAATCTTATCGTTGAGATCCGCTGGGGTCATTACGAAGCTGCCTACGTTGTCTTGGGTGCCAAACTGTTAATCCTGTTGGCTGAACACGGCCTTTAAAAAAAAATAAATTAAACACGGGAATTTAATGCACACAAAGGAAGGGCATTAATTCGGAGGGAAAAAAAAAGAATAGAACAGGCTGGCTCGTATTCTTTGCAGTTAGCTGAATTTACTTAAACCACCACCAGTACTTCCTAAAGTCGTGCCCGTTAACAAGCCACCACGATTTCAGGAAATGTACGGGTCACTACAGGAGCGCCCAAATTCATCCGACTAGAAACGTTTCTACTCTATTTTTTTTCCCACGGTCGACAGCTGGGCCGAGTACTGGTGGTTTAAGAGTGGAAAAACAAATAAGGAGGAGGAAAAGAGAAAAAAGAACAGGTTGCCGTGTCATGTTCACATGACTCTTGTGAATCCCCMAAAAAGGAGAAGATGGGAAATAAGTTAAAATAAACCAAGTTAAACAACCAACCAACGGGCCTACTAGCTCAGTTGGTAGCTGTTGAAAAAATACAGTCCCGAGTTCGAATCCAGGTACAATCAGCAGATGAGCGGAATAATATCATTCTGAATTGCCTTCGGTAGGGCCGGTCAGTTCAATGATGATATCTCATGTCATGGCCGTTGCCCTTTGGAAAAAGAAAAGAGGGCAAAGGAAAGGAAAGGAAAGGAGGGAGGTAAAAAAAAGAAGGGAAAAAAGAAAAGCCAAGTTCAACAGCCGCAACCAGAACGGGTAAAAAAAAACGAAAGTCGTGTAAACTATCATAATTACTGCACTGTCAGTTTTCACCGGAGGAGAAATTTGAAATTTTCCCATCGAGTGGGTATTATTGGACCCAACGGTCTCGTTATATACTTGTCACATTCGGCTGCGGAAAAAGGAGGAGGACAGTCCGAGAAGATCTGAGGGCATACTTACTCACACTACCGTAGCACTTTCCGAAATGCATCTCACTGCAATTACGGCCCCGCCTTGATGAATCTGACAGCAATCACTCACGTCCAGCGCTTTGTAGAAAAGGAGTCCTAGTGTGCGAGTATACCCCCCTGGGTGGAGGTGAAGCGCTAAAAGATTATTAGACTGACTACTAGGAAGAACAGGCAGGCACTACTCAAGGGTGGGTCCTTGACAGCGAATGCACACGGACAAGGATTGACAAGAAGTCTTTTATTATAAAGAGCTGCTGTCTTCACCAGAATATAGCGTACTGTCATGATCGCCGCATCTGGACTGAAAGTCGTCCCGATCCCTTTTCATCTGTTTCCCTATGAATTGTATGTCGGGAATACTGTGGATGCTTGGCCCGTTGGTCACCTGGTCGGCGGTGCGGCTCAGCAGTAGGGCGGTCCAAGTCCACCAGGGCTGCACACTTTGCACGAGTGACGAGGCCTTTGGAATCCACCCTATGGTGGGATTATCCGGCGTCCGCACGGATCTGGCAGTGGTGGGCGCTACAGTGGCAACAGATGGGTGGAAGAGAAATTGAGTGAAATGAGAAATGGGTGTTGCTGGGCTTCACTCCGGACAACTGCACGGGGCCGAAGGGCTGGCCATACATCGCCTAGGTAGCCAGAGCAGAAATCTGGACGGGCAGCAAGAAAGAGAAAGATAAACGAAATCACCATAGCGTCCCACCATAGCAGAAATCTGGGCCCATAGGAACCGATCAAGATTCGAGCATCACCCCTTCTCAGACATAGAGTTGAAAAGGGCCATCAAACCCAAAAAAAAAAGAAAAAAAAAAAGGGGGCTATCAAACGAGGGTTGTGACAGGCAATAGAGTAGAGGTGTACTGGCGGAGGAGAGCGAGATTGGGGAAGGACCTGGAAGAAGGCTACTACAGTACATACACGGAGGAGATATCAGTCCATAACACACGCATGCACACACATAGACACACACACACACACACACACACACACACACACACACACACACACACACACACATGCTTTTGGTTTCTTGGGGGAGCACGGCCGCTGAGTGTTTTTTATTGGTCCTGTCGCATTTTTCTTGGGGGAGGGGCAGGGTGTGTGCCACCACACCACTCCACTCCCCTATTTTTTCGGTGACCCCCTATTTTCGGGGGTTGCGCCGCACTTCGTGCGCGTGCGTGGGGCGTCGCTGTTGCGTCATGCTTGCGCACGAAGTGCGCGCCGCAAGTATGCCGCTTAGTAGCAAGTTGATGCCGCTTGATGCCGTGCCAAACAAGCGAGGAACGGCGTGAACCGCCGGGCGGCCTCTTCCCGAAGCTGCTGAATGAAGGGATGGCTTCGTGGTATGTATAGGCGGGACAGGGAGTTAGGCAGCACAGGGCAAGTTGCTGGCGTAACACCTGGTTGAGGCCAAGCAATCTGAAAGCTGGAAGCAGTGATGTGGGTGATGTACCTACTGTAGCACCGCTGTAACGAGGAAGGTCCCATAGCAGCAGCGGCTGGGACTGATCCTGGCACCTTGTGTACGTGTATACTGAAACTTTCAAGCTCAGAAGACTTGGCCAGTATGGTCCAAAGTCCGCTTGTGGAAATCCGGATGTCCAGAAGAAGCTGAGCTGTTCTCTCTCATCCTGGCGGGAACTTAGAAAGCCCAGATTCTAGATTGGGGAGTCTGGACAACAGGATGTCTGTAAGTGGAATCTGGGCCCATGTGGTACTACTTACTGGCTTTGTCCCACTGACTATATGCTCCAGAAACATGCTGGGAAGTCCTTTTGCTTTGCAATGTATGACACCGAAGTCCCGGTTTTTTTTTTTTTTTTTATTTATTTATTTTTATTTATTTATTTATGAACAAGGTAAGAGCTTTTCATTGGAAAGTCTGTGTTTCCATACAGGTGTCCAGCGTTTTTTTTTTTTTTTTTTTTTTTTGGATGAAAACAAGAATCGTATGTTGTATTAAGAATGCTGGAAAACAGGTGTCCAGTGTGTCCTTGAGCATTACATAAAATTTCTGCAATCAATTTGTACTCTTTTCGTTTATCCTCCTCTGGTAATTTCGTCCCTTTGTGAGTCGGGTCTCAAGTGAGCCTAGCCTCCTGCTTGTGGTGTATTGGCCATAACTGATGAGTCTATCAGACGATGAGATTACCATTTCCTTCTTGATCAAGACATGAAGATGGTTGTGGCTACCGATGTGGTGGTGGCCATCAACCAGACGGTGGACGTGAAGTTGGCATACACGGTATTGCCATATACCGCTCGCTGTGACCAGTCGGCATCCAACAGCTGGCCGGGAGCGAGACAGCATTGTGCAGTTGGAGTGTCTCGATCATTGCTTTCTCTGGCCTTCAGGTGTACACGTGAGCAAGCAAGAGCAGCAGGAGGAGGAGGAGGAGGAGGAGGAGGAGGAGGAGAAGGAATGATTCTGGCCTTATCAGCCGCTCGCTGTGACCATTCGCCACCCAACAGCTGGCCGGGAGCGAGACAGCAGTGTGCAGTTGGAGCGTCTCGATCATTGGTTTCTCTGGCCTTCAGGTGTACACGTGAGCGTGAGCAAGCAAGAGGAGGAGGAGGAGGAGGAGGAGGAGGAGGAGGAGGAGGAGGAATGATTCTGGCCTTATCAGCCTCAGCCGGTGGTCTTCACTCCCCGGAGGGGATTGTGATCTGCAGACATATGGCAAGACCAGTAAGTTGTGGGAGAAGTTGGGGTAATGTGCCAAGTCACCCAAGGTCAGCTTTGTTCTCTCATGGTAGGAGTGTAAGAGATGGCCGAAACTCCGAAACGGGGTTCGGGTCGGCAAAGCTTGAGCTCCCCATCAGGTCCGTTCCGTCCGTTAACGATGCACCTCAGTCTGGGAAGGGCACGCCACAGCTACCGGAAAGAGGCCTCAGTGGCAGTCCATCTGGACCGCAGGATCCAAATGTGAGGTTACCTCTGGCCAGCCAGCTTGCTCTGCCAACTACTTCCTCTTTTCGTGCATCAGCTGCCGGGGAGTCCGTCTCCGTCTTGTCAGGTGAGAGAGAGGCTGTAGATGGCAATGGAACCCCTGCTTCCAGCCTTGTGAACGCAGAGGCTGTGGGCCGATTGCGTTCAGATGATGAGGTCGTTGTCCCCCCACAACAAGCCCCGGAGGAGTTGTCTTCCGACCCTTCGTCGGTGGATGCTGCATGTGCGGACAGATTGTTGGCAATGCCGGAGGAGGTTCCTGCAAGTATGGCCCACGGGCAGAGGGAGGAGGAAGGCATTGAGGGCATCCCAAGGGAGGTAGAGTCAGCCACAGATTCAATCAATTCTGCAGAGCCGTCGTCATCAGCTGGATCGCATCGGGAAAATGGAGAGGACGGTGCTGTTGGTGTTGCAGCGGATGACGTAACTGATGGATGTGTATCATTGGAGAATACCAGGGAGGAGAGTGGAACGAGTGCGCAGGACATTCCCGCTGCACTTGGGGATGGGGAAAAGGGGATAAGGTGGAAAGATGGGGGTGTTCAAGGAAGAGGAAAGAAGTCATGGCCAAAAGATAGAGGACGGCAAAGCGCATGGTTGTCATCTATTTCGAGGCAGAAGCAGCGCGAGAGGACTCAGCAGGTGAGGCGACGTAAGGATGGAGCCCAACAGTTTGTTGTGTTTGAAGGGAAATCATCTTTGGACAGCCTGTACAACGAAGAGAGGGAGGAAGAAACAAGGGAAGGAGGAGACATAAACGGGACAGAAACAGCCAAAGACGAAGGCCTGATTGGGGATGCAGCCAGCCCCATGGCGAATGGAGAGTCTGCTCAATCCAGTGGACAATACCCTGAAAGCGATCCTTCTACCAGATATGGAAGACCACGGCTCAAGATCAATCTGGACCTTGGTCTTTACAAAGCGAAAAGACTGCGGCAGCAACAGCGGTTCGATGAGTCAGAGGAGATTCTGTTAAAGGTACTGTACTGTTTACCTTTTCGTTGATGGACTGAATTTTTTTTTTTTTTTTTTTTTTTTTTAAAAGGGCGACGGCCTTCAGATATTATCATTGAGCTGACTGGCCCCAAGCAATTCATTAGTAGTTGGTTTTACTCGTCAAGTTCCATCATCTGAATTCGAACACAGGTCTGCATTTCAACAGTTCATGGGTGTACCAACTGAGCTAGGCTCTTGGGTGATGGACTGATTTTTTTGCTCTCCCCCACAAGGGTTTGTGGGCCAGCTATATAATAAGCTTTGGACTCGTGCTCTCATCTTTCCTTTGCTATGCAAGTGGAGTTTCTCCTTCAACAGTCCTTTTACCTGAAGTCGCTGTGCCTCCCTCCATCATCATTTAGTGAACTTCTGCTGAACATATAGCACGCACGAGTCGTCCAGAGAATTTCTGTTATTAAACGTTTCAAGTCTTACCTGACAATGAAGACATAGAAAGTCACGAGTCAAGAGACTTGTGAGCCAGAGGCTTAACTGCCTCCATTCTTCCTTCTCACCCACAATACCTTCCCTACAAGGGAAGGGACAACTCCGCAAACTGCAGCGAGGGAAGGAGGGCACAGGAAATCGAAGAGGCTCTCCCAGCCTGTCCTATACAGGAGCGCCTTTTTTGCAGCCCATTACATTGAAGACCCGTGGCTCACTCAGGTGCATCCTGCGGCCCGGTAGAACTACCGTTTAATAAATGGATGGTCCCCCCATGTATCAGATCCATCCACAAGCTTCTTCTTCGGCAGGCCCCGGTTTTGAGCATGGCCCGCCACGGCGGGCTCAGGGAAAGAAGCTCGGGCCCAATAAAAAGAGGCCCAATAATAAAAGAGATAATGAAAGACCAAAGGTGGCCACAAAATGACTTGTAAGTTGTCACTCTAAAACGATATTGTGACCCCTAATAGTTTTCCAGTGAAACCACCGGTACTCCAGTCATTTTGTGGCCCCTATTAGAACATTGGAATCATGCCACTGGAAAACTATTAGGGGCCAATAGGGAGTACCAGTGGTTTCACTGGAGTCTGGAGTGGTCCACATTGGTTCCTAAGGCGAGCGGCTCGATTGACTCCAACTCGTAAACCTGTGGAAAATTAATTAAAGGGCTTCACTTCGCCATTGTGAAATAATTCAGCCATGGTCATGATTGTTGAAGGCTCCCTTGTTTCCTTGTACTGCTTCTGTTTTCTGTTTTAAAAAGAGGTTAACTGTGTGATGGATCAGAAGCGTCATACATGTATGGTGATGAAGATGAGGATGATGCTGAGAGAACAACGGAAAGTTCATGGAAAGTTCATGGAAAGTTCACGGCAAGTTCACGGCAAGTTCACGGCAACCATAGAAGTACCACAGATAATGCAGTAATGCTGAGAGGAGAACGGAAAGTTCACGGCAAGGCTGATGCTCAGGATGATGATAATGATGATAATGATGATGATGATGACGATGATGATGATGATGAGGAGGAGGAGGAGGAGCATGATGTGGGTGGGGATGAAGATGATGAAGATGATGAGGATGACTAGGATGAGAATGATGGTGACGAGGATCAGAGTGATCGGGGAGAAAGAATGGGGTTCGGCTTCCCACACCTGGACTTCATGCCTGTATGTGTGCAGTGCGTAAGGAACTTTCCCCAAGATGGGAGGGCCTATGTGAACCTTGCAAAGGTATACCAAAAGACAGGCAGGGTGGATGCAGCGCGCAAGATCCTCGAGGAGGGGTGCCAGGCTCTAAAAGGCGAAAGCCCCTACATCTGGCAGGTAACAACCCCCAAAAACATCTTCTTGTCCAATGCTCCCTCTCCCCCATGCTTCTTCCCTCTATGCTCCCTCTCTCGATGGTCCTCCTGTTCTTGCTCTCCATGCTTCTCTCCTTGCTCTTATGTTCCTTCTCTCTATGCATTCTTCTCCCAATGCTCATCTCCGTGCTCCTCCTCTCCATGCTCCTCCTCTGCATGCTCTTCCTCTGCATGCTCTTCCTCTTTGTGCAGTTCCTCCTTGAGTAGAGCAAACGTCGAGTAGATTCTTCCTTGTGACGGAAATGAGAAGGTCAGCTCCCTCCAAATCACTTTGCCACCACCACAGAAATTGCTGATCTAAGGAATCTTTCATTCTGATTGACATGCGATTCACATGCAAGTTCATGCAACTCTATCAATTCCAAACTTCAAACGAAAACCTACCACACATGAATCCCGACCTTTTCCCCCCCTCTTCTTCACCAGAGCTGCCAAACCTGAATGCTATTGTGCTCAACAGGGTTTGAATTTGGATCAGAATTTTCTCCATGCATGCATACGCATGTAGTTAGTTAGTTAGTTAGTTCTGACAACCAACCACTCGAGTCGAACAGTCAGCTCCGGTATATTTTATTCAAAATTTGCTCAAATTGGATATCCAGAATGTGAGAGAGTTCTCCTCGTTATGTGGACGCAAATGGGTAACTGAGTGAGAAGAGAGGGACAAAAAGATTTCAGGACTTTGCATCGGCCATGTGTGTGTGTGTGTGTGTGTGTGTGTGTGTGTGTGTGTGTGTGCTGTCTCTTATACACATCTAGATGTGTATAAGAGAAAGGGCCAAAGAGGGTCCCCCCCCACCACCACCACTA